TTTACCCACCAAAAGTTTTACGAGGCCGTATATGTTATCTGCGAATACGAGAAGGCTGAATTTAAACTTTCTGCACCGCATGTGTGCAGTGGACATACCGGTAAAATTTTAGCTTCCTAGCTTCCGTGGTTCCCGAGATAATAATTTTCCCCGTCAAAACTTTTGCGGGGCCGTACATGTTACCCACGAGTACGGGGAGGCTGAATTTAAATTTGCGGGGTCACACTCGGGCGAGGAACAATTCCCTAAATTTTCAGCTTCCTAGCTGTTGAAAGTTGCAAACAAGTTGCCGCGGACACACACACAGACAACTTATGAGTTTTGTACAGTTGTTACACAGCACAAAACGCATAGAAATACCAATATTTATTGATGTGTCAGTATAGTTAGCGATGTTATTAGGATGCTTCCAAACGCTGAGCGCAGTTATGCCAGGCCCTTCGGTTCTGGGCTGCATACTGCCAGTTAGTATATGCATCATCAGAACTGTACACTGCGCTGAAATTTTTTTCGGGTTGTTTCTGTTGCTGTTGAGAGACGTTCGGGCGATTTCAGCTCGTTCACTGATCAGCAGCAGCAAGTGCTGGGACGAATTGTTTCTGCTGTGTGAGTTCGATGGCGCGGAAGAAGGAGTATCCTGTGGCCGGCGACGCGTCAAGCGGGGGCGCTGGCGCCAACGCCGGCAATAACGTGAAAAGACCGCCAAATCCGAATGCAGCGCCAAGCGGCTCGCAAACCAAAGTGGACATCACTGCTCGCATCAATACCCCGATGAAGCGAAAAGAGGTAATCCACCGTTTCATCCATCGCCTTCCAGCTCCTGTACAAGGCCTTTTCGGTGGCACTCAGAAGTAGCACGTTGCAGGAAAAGCCCTCTCTTCGACAGGGCTGTGTCCCTTTTTTTCGGGTGTAGATGTAAACTGATGGCAGCATTGATTTTCCCACTTTAGGCAGTACTTGCTTTTCTGTCGAAACGAATTATCAAGTGGTTGAGAGATTGGTTTTTACCACTGCCCACTTCGAGTCAACGGTTTTTATCCG